CAGCCAAAAAGAGAAAAGAAGATGAGTTCTCCTGGTTGTTGAGAAGCTTGCAACAACCAAGAGAGGTTGGTTTTGGCTGGGCAAATGCCTCCCTATTTATAAAGGGGGAAGGCTCTCTTTGGTTTCCAATAGGTAAAAGAAAGTGTTGGAACTAGTTTATTTCCTATAGGTAAAAGGGAGCATTGGGATATTCTTATTTCCAATAAGTAAAGCTAAGCATTGGAAAATGACTATTTCCAACGGGTAAAGGGAAATGTCAGAATTGGCTTGTTTCCAATGGGTAATAGGGAGTGCTGGAAAAGGCTTATTTCCAACGGGTAAAGCTAGGCATTTGGAAAATAACTATTTCCTATGGATAAAAGGAAATGCTTGGAAAATATCTCATTTGCTTACCCACATTGGAGAACTCTAAGTAATGGGCTTGGACTTTGGTGCTCCCAAGTAGCTAGCCCAAAGTCTCCATTATCCAAGAGCTCCCGTGGGCCTTGTGGACCTCCGTAACCTTCCACACCACAATCCCTCATGCAAGCCCCGTAACCACATGACTTGGGTTCATGTAAGCTTGATAGGTGATTGACATATGAAAAATGTATTATTAGCTTTGCATGGCATGGACACTATTATTTATTTAATGAATTAATTCCCAAAATATAGCTTGGATTAACGCATGACCAAAATTATATGTTATATCGGGCCTTAAATGTCTTTGGGCTTCTCGTGACTTTTTTGGGCCTCAACAATAATACAGTGATCAATTTGGCTAAATTTATTTCTTAGTGACCAAATTAAAAGTTAGTTTAAAACCCAGTAACCATAAAGGTATTTAACATTTACTTTAATTAGTAATTATATTTTAAATATTATTTATTTAGTGAATTGTTAGTATTTAAATATTTTACTAATTTCATAAATTTCTTCAAAAATAGTAATTAATTATTTTAAATTATTTTGTGGACTTTGTTATTTAATCATTTTATACAAAATTAGTTTGTTTGGTTTAATTGACAAGACCCGACCCAAATTTGTATAATCATTTTATAGGAATAGAATACGTACGTGTTTTATTCGGCAAAATTTTAGCAAATTACAACTTAAAAGTTTAGCTACTATATAACATTTTAATATATATTATTTGTATTCAATAATACGTGTATAATACGTGAATTTTGTGTGTAATATTGAAATTTTTTTAAATAATACGTGTATTAAATGTGAAAAAACGTATGTACATGTTCAATACGAGAATTGTACGTTTGCTTTTAAAAAAATTAGGGAAAAATAAGTATGGCTATACTGTTTCTTTTAAAAGTATAATTTAAAAAGGGAGTATAGCCGCGCGGCTGTACTGGTTGTTTTAAAAAATTAGACAAAACAGAGTATAGCCGTCCGGCTGTACTATTTTTAAAAAAGAATAAAAAACAGCGTATAGCCGGGCGGCTAAACTATTTCTCTTTTAAAAAATTAGGTAAAAACTGAGTATAGCCGCGCTATACTATTTCTTCTTTTAAAAAATGGAAAAACCACGTATAGCCGCGCGGCTATACTATTTCTCTTTTTAAAAAAAATTAAAAATAAAAAAAATAGGAAAAAACCGCGTAATTCCTTTATTTTCTGGAATATTAAGAATCAAGTGACATTATTCTCTATCAAAAAATCTGTCATAGTAAATTTAAATGCATATACATACACATATACGCGTGCATGCCTAGCTTATAGATTTTGTCATACATGATACACACACTGACTAAAATGTTATATACATTTTAGTCTATATTGTTGAATTCACATTCTGACTTTAATTTTTCTGCACCTTCGAAAAAAAAAACCTCAGGCAATTGATGAAGCTGAAGATGAGTGGATCGACACAAGCGTGAAGGGATTACGGGGCTCAATTCCGGAGCATTTTCCTTATTTCCATGTCGAGTTTGGTTTAAATAAGGGGTTTGTCCATATGATTGATGATGAAACACAGTTCAATAGAAATCTTGGGCTGAATGTTATCAAAGGCAAAACAACTTCACGAATCCTAAAACCCCCTTTTTTTTTTTT